GTTCAATATCATTATAACGATATCATATTTCAACAAATTTATTTTGCTCAAAATCCTAATGCAAATCAAGTAAACTTCTTTCATATCGAGCTTATTTTATCTTACTATTTTAGATACAATCTTCGCTCTTAATCATATAAAAAAAGAAATTAGATAGGAAAAACAAAAACTTTTTTACATTCATAGCCTTCTCTCTTTCAGATAGAATCTTGACGCAAAAAAAACAAAAATATAATCGGTATAAAATACGAAAGAATAGCAAAAATTCAAAATATTTTCTACTGCATATGGATTTCAATACAATTGATTTAACTCGAGCAGAACAAGCTACTTCTTTGTTAATTAATAATGAACAACAAGAATATCAATCAAGAACATTATTAGATAAAAATAATGGACGATATGCTTATTTACCTATATTTCCAACACAATATGTTGGTCCAAATGAGTGTTTACTTTTGGCTAATGTATCAGGTTCGTATGTTCGATATAAATTGATTATAAATCATTTCATTTCATTGTCTTTTAGTTAGTCGTCTTGCACCTCATGAACTCGCTCGACGTCAACATGGAGCTTATACTTCAGATGCACTAATGTTGATGAATCAGTACAATTATTCCGATGAATTTAGTTTATCTGAACACGATGCTAATGAATTAGCTTCACGATTACAAGTAGGCAAATCAATAATTACTTTCAATGCACAACGACTTCGTAGCAACTGTCATACTCTTCTTGCATTTCATGAATCATTTCGACGATATGTTCTATGTAAGAGTGATGTTGTTCTAAAAGAACCAACACCCAATTCGAAACAAATGGCTATGGCATTAGAATTCTATTTACAAATCGATGGTTAGTCTTCATGTCGATATATATGATGCATATATGTTTCATATTTTTTAGTGGATTTATTCTATATGAAAACTTGTTCGTTTCGAGGAGCTCAACCTCCATCTAATATAGAAGGTCTATTTTGTAGAAGAGATGAACCTCAAGCAAGATATTCATTGGTTCCATGTGATAATCTTTTTTGTCAATGTTGTCTTCCATTAAATACTTACCAGAAAAGTCAACCATGGCCAATTGTTAATTTTGCTTCAAGTTCAATG